CATAAGGTATCCTTGGTACGGACCACGCTGCCACAGTTAATAGAAAGTCAATTGACAATTATTTTATGTGAAGTGATTTGATTACCTATGTTCGGCTGGCTTCAAGCGCTCCGACGGCTGTGTTCGTGGTTAATTTGCAATTAAATGGTTAAATGTTTTAAGCTGCTGGCGACAAGTCGTTGCCGCACTCGACAAGCAGAGCAGGAGTCTGCGATTGTTTGTTATGCAAAAAAAGTTCGCTGCTGCAAAATGTAGAATGCTGGAATGTTGGAAAGCGATGAGTCATTCGCTGAAAATTGCTTCAAAGTAAACATTCGAAGTTTGTTTGCATTTTTCTGGGCTAAATGATTGCAAAGTACATAATGGAAGTTCGGCCTTTACATTGAATTTTCAATTTGTTGTTAAACACGCTTCTTTGGCTTAGTAATTTTTAGCCAGAAAAAGAGGAATCATCAATCGAAATCCATAAAACAGGACTAGAACCGGAGATAACGCAAGGATGAATGTTAGGTGTTTGACTATAATTTGCTGTATCTAACTGTTCTTAAGCTGTGCCGCTTGCACCTCTACTTCTCTTCCTAAGAGGACGCCCATTTGTAGGTACGACATTAATAACCAGAGAGTAAAAAAACAACTCTCTTACACAGAGTGAGCGAGCGCCTTGCATAGGATACTCAGATACATACATATGTACATTCGTTTGTGACTGCAGCGAGGCAGTCTATTAGCCAACTAGTGACATCATAAGAGCTGCATCGTAAACTATAAAACCGCTTATTGTTGCCACACGTCGGCGCACTTTGCATTAGCAATCGAACTATCAATTAACGTCACTGAATTGACCATAAACGTGTGTAGATAATATCCAGCATAGCTAAATGGCTGAGAGCTTAGCGGCACTACAGTTGGCTGCCTCAATGCTAACAACTCTCAGCTCAATGTCCACACTTATGAGGCTAGAATCTACGCAAATTTAAGTCAAATTCAAAACGACAGCAGATGGATTTGAGGATGGCCCGATAAAATGCGGCAACGGTTTTTGAGGATGATGTTTAGTACGAGTAAAAAAGCTGATTGTAAAGTTAAGATACATACGTCTTCATTTTTTCGAATACGCAATTACAATTACAATCACAAAAACTTCCAGTTATTGTTTTAGTTGCGAATTTCAGCTTCAAAAAAATCTAATTAAAACATGAATAGAAATACGTACAAACCTATCTATATGCGTAGTAAATAAAAACAATTTGCAAACAGAATATAATTTTAGCAAACAACTCAGTAGGGCCATAAGAAAAATCAGCCTAGTCTCGGCCTAACGTCTAAGACACGAGCTACATACGCCAATGTCGCCAGCGAGTTAATTTAATTAAAATTTACATAATAAATATTTATTGGTCATAGCATGCGTAAGAAGCACAATTGATTTTCTATACATACATATGTACATTCATACATACTATACGCATCCATCTGCATTTAAAAAAAAACACTAGCGCTCGCATGAAATCGCAACTCGCGAACAAAGAATTTGTTTTAAAAAAGATCTAATTGTAGGCGAAGACTTAAAATCCTCCTACCTCACCTGCCGCCCCCAACCCTAACAATCGGCCCAACGTGGCGTATACGCACCCAATCACGAGTATCAATCCAGCTCGACCGTTAATTAGTAAAGCTCGTCGTCGTATGTACTATGTTAGATATGTATGTTTGGCGATGGAATATGTAAAGTTATGTATTGTATGTATGTACTGGTGTTTTGTAGTTTGCGTTTTGTTGCTTATTGGCGATTGGTGTTATGAAGTAATAGGAAAAAAAATAACTATACAAAAACAAAAACACATTAATTAAATACTTGTTAAATGTTGAATGCTGTATGTTGATTGTTGTTGATTGCTGAGTATGTCAATTACCGACGAGTACGACCACGGCTAACATGACGATGACGACGCGACTGTCGCTGTCCATGTTCGAAAACTTTTGATAAATATATACATATATGTACATTAGGGCGGGCCAATTTTTTTTTCTTTGGAGTTTGCCAAATTGCGAAAAAAATTACGAAGAAAATGGCAAAATTTTCTCTGTTGTGCCCTGCGGTGGAAGTTATAAGAAAAAAATAAAATGGATTCTTCATACCAAAAAACCCCTTATGGCATGTTTCTTTTTTAATTTAAGCACTTTTTTACGACACTACAGCAAAATGTTAAGAAACCTATTTTCACAATTTGGCAAACTCCAAATTGTTTTCAGACCCAGGGCTTCTTCGGCAAATTTTCCTAGAATTACACGTAGAAGCCGTCTGTGCTATACGCGCATAGTAGAAAAAATATCCCATACAAATTGACCCGCCCTAATGGACACACATACACAGTATATATATAAAATATGTATGCTTATGGCTGAGTGTGCGTAATATTTAGTATGTAACTTTGTAGTTTGTTCTTATGCATTCGAAAATTGTTATACCTCCACCATGGCAGGCATTCAAGGTCGTCCAACTGTTATTATCTTTAGGAATTTTAGCGATCATTGCAGGCAGTTTATATGTACCAATGAATTAAACAATTGTTGCTTAGTTTTGCCGCATCTTAATTTGTACGCCAGTTTTTAGCCATGTCAATCGAGCTGTGAATCTTCAAGAATTTGTTAAAATTTCAGCGGCGCAGAGAAGAGAACGCACTAAGGTGCTAAAGTGTATAAGTACGCATTTTTTCAACAAATTAAATACTTATATGTACCTATATTTATTTGATTACTAGTTATTGAAGGTTTGTCGAATATCAAAAGTAAATACAAATGCAAATGTATGTATGTAAAAGCTTAAACAGACGGCAGCGTTAATCCGGGTTGACTCGGACTTAATTCGGATGAACTGCAGTTAATTCCCGAGTTTATACGGATCAACGCTGCCGTCTGTTTATGCTTTAAGCCTGGTATGCTGAAAAGGAAAAAGTGTTTAAGTCTTCTTATGTCCATTTTCAGAGGAGTTTCTGATAGTAAAGTAAACACATTTTTGTAAATTTATATTGACGGTATTCACAAGTTATCGTACGTCGTAATGTCTTAATGTAGTGAAATGTTCCAACGTAAAATAACGGTTAAAATGATTTTAGCGGATTTTTTTAGCGGATATAAAATATATACATAATTAGCACTTATTATACCCTACGAACCCCTTTAAAACCATTTTAAACGTTATTTTACATTGAAAAATCCTAAAACTTTAAGCCATTGCGACGCTTACGACATCTTGTGAATACCCTAATCGAATATAGTAAAAGTTGAGCAAATCCAATTTTTATAGAAACGTTTTTCTGCCACTGCAACTTTTTCTGTGTAAAGTTAATGAGGGCTTCAAAATCATATTAATTCAACTAAAAACTTCAAGGATTGTGTAAAAAATAAATCTGTGACTTTTATATAAATTTTCAATTTATAAAGCGCTTTAAGTTTTCTTTATTTTTTGTGAATTTAGGTGTTAATTTTGATCGGTCAAAAATAGCGTTTTTACGAGAATACCAAAAATTGCAAAAATGCAATATTTTGAGGAAATAAATATATTATCATGTTTCTTCTGTGAATTTTTTAAATTATTCTAACGTGTTTCGCAATACGCTCTTATAGCTGCGCTACTCTTAACAATACTCGTTTTAAAAAATTAAACAGGTATCAACTCCCAAGCAGCTTAACTTTAAAAAGACAGTCGTTACTTGAGCTGATCTGCTCTTTTACCAGACTGCCAGGCCATTTGCCCAATTTGGTGAATAACACTATAATGAATGTTTTGATGTTTCAAAGTATGCCTAACATAATCAATGCACAAATTTATTTATTATGGAATTTTAGAAAGTAGAGTTTAAAAGCAAACGACTTCAGCGTGTTTCGTTTAGTGGTTTAGTAGTTTTTTTTTTTTTTAAATCGACTTATGCACTTTTTCCTTTCATTGCGAAACGGTTAAATACAATTCATCAAGCAGTTTGCAAATCCGTTTTTGCTTACTTGCAACCTTTTTCTTTTAATTTCTGACAGCCTTAGATACTATTTAAAAAAATTACATAACCATTTTAGATTTCCCGCAATAATTAAGTTTCTCGTGGATTTATATTTTAGATGCGTGTGGACTGTCGGACGTCACACACATCGAATCGCTGCAGGAGAAGTCACAGTGCGCGCTCGAGGAATACTGCCGCACCCAGTATCCCAGTCAACCAACACGATTCGGAAAGTTGCTCCTGCGATTGCCCTCCCTGCGCACCGTATCCTCCCAGGTGAGCCTTTTTCAGTAATCAATTAATAGGAAATGTAAATACGATCCTGGAACTTCTACCCCAAAAGAAACCTCAATTTAAGCATTTTGAAAAAAGCATTTTTTAAGTAAAACAAAAAGGTTAGAGAGGAAGCAGTAGCTTTCCCTTTAAACATCGCTTAAGAATATCAACTTCTAACTTTATTTCGATATATTTTTGTATTTTATTGTTTTGCACTTTCCTTTACTTGTGTGTTTCTCTCTCTCTCTCTCTCTCTCCTCGCCCTGTAGGTCATCGAGCAATTGTTTTTTGTGCGTCTAGTCGGCAAAACCCCCATTGAAACGCTGATACGCGACATGCTGCTGTCCGGCAACAGTTTCTCCTGGCCTTACTTGCCATCGATGTGACACACAATGTGGCGCCAATTGACAACGACTTGATCATCCGCTGCTGCAGCCGCCGCCGCCGCCGCAGCAGCAGCTGCTGCCGCAAACGCTGCTGTTAGCCACAACCACCACGACCTCCACAATAACAACCACACTGCCGCGTCGCTCAGCAACAGCAGCAACAACTACCATAGCAACAGCAACGGCTTTGTGGACGTCGGCAACGGTCACCCCGGCAGCAGTACGAGCAGCAGCAGCAGCAGCAGCTTGCTGAATTACAATAGTCACAACAACAACAACACAAGTGGCATTGGCAATGCGTCTAGCGCGTTCTCTGGCACAGGCAGCAGCGGGCAGCATTTCAACGGAGAGGTGGGCGTGGGCATGATGGGCGGCTATGGAGGCGGTTTCTTCGGCCCAGCTGGCGCGGGTGTAGCAGGAGGCAGTGCAACCTCCGTGGGCAGCGACTACAGCAGCAGCAGCACCGCCAATTGCTTCTACGCAGCTAGCGCCGCATCACAGGCGGCGCCGCCGACGACAAGTGTCGTAAATCCAACTACAATGCTGTCCAACTATTGTGACGCAGCTATGATGATGGCCGCGGCGGCCGTGAATGCCAATCAATGCCTGCAACAGCATCACCGAATGATGCTCGCCAGCAGCAACAGCAGCAGCCAGAACGAGGCGAGCGAGCACAACATTCCCGACTGCAGCGACGACATGGACATGGACGAGACGACCGACACCAATGTGGAAGCAGGTGCGGCAGCTCCAGCGCCATCCGCCTCTTCGGTCGCTTCGTCGACAACATCGGCGGCAACCACAAGCGCTTCATCATTGTCAACGTCAGCGCTGGCGCTGTCAACTGCCAATTCCCCCACGGCCAGCAGTGTAACGGCAGCCGCGGCAACTGCGGCAATCATCAGTCAACAGTACCAACAACAGCAGCAACAACGCGGCGCCCAACACTCCCATCTCGGCCACAGCCACAGCCACAGCCACAACCACAACCCCAACCACCATCTTCACCAACCGCAACAACAGCAACAGCAGCTTGCATCGCCAACAAATCTAATCGATATCAGCGAAGTTCCTCTCATTGTCGATGTCAAGTAGAAGAATGAAAGAGTAGTTTAGTTTTAATTACAGTGAAACAAAAGTAGAAAAAAACCCCCCCCAAAAAAAAAAAAACAAAAAAGTTTACGAAAAACTTGCAAAAAAAAAAATCAAGCTGAAACGAAGACATGAAATATTAGCTTAATTTTTTTCTTTTTAGAATTGTTAAAGCGCAATTTTTTAGAAATGGGAACGCTGTCGTACTTTTGTAAATATTTTTAACTAACTAATATTTATAGTAATTTATTTATTGAAGTTATAAAAATGTTTCTCTCAAACTATGAAGCTTGAAGCCAAAACTCCAAAGCTATTAGCGTAAAATATGTATGTGTATAAATCGAAAAGAAATCGAGTCCCAAAAATGTTGCTCCCTCCCTTGATTTACCAGGGCCACCAAACGAGGCTTAGAAAATTTGCAAATTTCTCCTCCTCTCTGCTGGCTTCAGGTGACATATCCTTTGCAACAAAGCAACACACAAACCGAAAAGGAGAAACAAGGAGTTTCGTTAAACGAAGCTCCGGTAACTCCGACCAAAAAAGGCATAAATCAACAATTTTCGTAGCCTTAAGAAAACGTGAAATTAAAAATAGAAAATACGAATGAATGGAATGGCACTGAATCTTACTTAATTTCAGCTTAAATTTTAGTGCTTACTTTAAGTTTTAAAACGAAGTTTTATCTCATCCATTACACAGTCCAACAAATGCAAAACTTTTTTTCTGCAACAGAATAACCGTAGAATAATTTTGGAAGAGGTCATCGATCTGACCATTTCCGCTGTACAAAGCCATAGCCCAGCAGGTCTGAGTTTTGTTTTACTTGCACTCAAAGGTTAAGGATTCATGTGAGTTTCTGCACCGGAAGTACAAAAACTCGAAGACACATAGCTCTGACGTCTTCGAGAAAAATAATCCTCATCAGAAATTAGGGGAAGTGTGCGAACAATTTGACTTCCGCTGATCTCGCGTTTAAGCAAAATGCTAGAAAAGAAAATGACACTGCGTGGAATGACGAATTATAGTTCAAATAAGATAATATCGTATACTTAATAAGTAGAATTAAAAATATATTTGTATCGCATTGGAGAGATTTTTGAAGAGTTTTTTTATTTTTCTTAATTTCTTGTGCAATCGAAAGGAGCACGAGAATTTTTGTCTTTTTATAAGCCAACCCTATTTCTTCATGATTTTTCCCCATGGCGTCATACAACTATTGTAATTATTTCACTCTTAGAAAAATAGTGCGAAAATCTTAAAAAAGGTCAACAAGATTGGATGGTGCTGCGTGGAAGTCTACACTGAGAAAAAAATCAACCAAAAATTGGTTGATATTACCAAATTCAAACTTGGAAAGAACTCAAAGTGATTTTTGTTTAATATATATTAACAATGCCTTTGTTGTTATTTTCAACAATGATTTGGTAATATTGACCACATTTTTATTCACTTTAAACATATTTTTGTTTGCCGATTTTTTCTTTTGAATAACGCTTATGTTCTGCACTTCACAAATGCTTTTCAGAGTTCGGACAAACATTATTATTATCATGTTATCATGTTGCTCCGATGCGATTGGAACGCGGACCTGCTGGAAGCCCACAAATGTATTTACCATGAAAAAATCAAACAATAATAGCTTTTTAAAGTAAACCTCTTTTTCTCATATATCAAAGCTCTAACTCTTTAAAATTTTGTAGTCACGGAAAATGATCAGCATGATGCCCTCTTTCTAAATTATGCCATGGTTATGCGCTGTTGCAAAAATGCTGTTGTACAGTGTTATTAATATTATAATTGTACGTATTAATTTGAGCTAAGAAATATTTTTGTTTATATTTCTTGAACTCTTTTTAAATTTTTATAATTTTATAGAGAAGCTTTACTGAATTGCTTTGTCTTATTTTCCCCTTCAAGTGTCTTTTATGCTCAACTGTGGCAATTTTGTGCTTTAAGTAAATATTTTTCGATTGAGTAAAATTTTAAATTTTACATTTTACCATTAAATGTTCAGAAGAAAAAAATATTTTAAAACATGCAGAATTTATTTAGCAAATTTTTTTATTTTTATTTTATGTAAGCTCAGACCAGTGCAACTTTAATTTTAAGTTGGAAAAATATATGTAGTATATTATTTTTTATTTATGTATACAAAACCAGAAAATATTTTTAAATAAAGTTTGATATTTTAAATACATATGTACATACATACATAAATGAAAAGATGTGTTTTAATTTTTCTTACAAAAGGTTTGTGGTAAATTCTTTATATTTATTTTATACGAATTAATTTCGGATTTTTTTTACATTTCTTCATTTAGTATATTAAATTGTTTGTTTAGTTAATTTTTGTAAAAAAAAAACGTTGTGCAACGAATCAGTGCTTTGCATTACCGCAAAAAAACAATGACTGGCTAAAAACATAAATATGTAAATAATAGCCGAATAGCAGTGTGTTATAAAGCAGAAGGGATAGTCCCAATGAATTTTAAACGTAGATCTGTACATAATAACGGAATCGCGAAGGGACTAGCGATAAATCACTTTTGAAAAACAAAAATTCCAAACACGTCAAAATGCTTTGTATTATATGCGTGTGTAACGGTGTATTGAAATTTGTAAAATATATTCCTGACAGACATTTAAAAAACAAAAAACCCATATAAAGCACAAGAAAGGCGATAAGCGAATGATTCCATTGAAACTTAAATACTCGGAAATAGAAAAAAAAACACAAAAAAAAATGCTTATCAAAAATGGAAAAAGCGTATGAAGAAAAGAGGCGAAGAATTGCAAAGAATTGTGTATAAATTAAATTGTTGTAAAGTATGCTCGTTTCCATACGCGTGTAGAGAAATTCAGACACACATACATATGTACATACAAAGCCAGAATGCATATGTGTGTGTTTGGTAAATAAACAAAAACAAAAACAAAAAAACATAAACAGTTATTTATATGCTATATATAAAAATGATATGTTATCTATATACATATGTGTGTGTAAAAATAAATTAATTAATTTTAAGCCGTCGAGTTTGTTTTTCATTGAATATCTTTTGTATAATTTATTCGAATGAATGTGTCAGAATATAGCAATTCAAAGTCAAAAGTTAAATAAAACAAAAAATGCTACCATTAAAAGAAATAAAAAAACAAATAAACAAAGTTCTTGAGATAAAAACAGGCGTTTTCACTTTCGGGCTGCGATCGGTCATCAAAATTACTCGCAAGACACTGCACAACAAAATTTAGTGGATTTGGTTTTTTCGGAGTTTTATTGTTCGGTTAGGTGGAGTGAAGTTTTCATTGGAAGAAATTTTGTAACTGAAGCCCATAAAACAGCTTCCAACTCTATCTTTCTGTTTCCTATGTGATCTGGTGAAATAAATTTCTGCGCTGCAGATAGCTCACAATACCGCAAAGAAGATGTCGATCGAATAGCGTTTTTTATGAAAAAAAAGAGATTCTCTTCGAGGGTATAAACCTGCCAAGAACTCTGCGTCTTCCTAAGCAAATCAACGCTTCCACGAACATACTCACACGCATATCTTTGTCTTCTCTATCGCAGATCTCATCTCCGCTTCCCTCTCCACCGATCACCAGCTCACGTAGCAAATACCTTACACGTACTCACATACGTGTATGCGGGCTGCTCCGAAATTACCAATAATGAGACATGAAACTCGTGCGCTTAGCCCCTATAATGGATTGCAGTGAATTGGAATCAATTGCAGGTCAATTCCAATACCAAGCCGTCTACATTATTGCGTCCTTGCTCGCTGGGCTGGGACGTGCCTGTCGAAGAGAAGGAAGTCGACAGTGGAGGCGGCACACAAAAGATAATCAGGAACAGATTGTGCGATCAGCAACAGCAATTGGGTGGGTATCCCTAGTTTGCTCGCAGGCTCGCTCGCCACTGCTGACACCAATGTGAGATCGCGCAAGTGAGTGAAGAATGTATGAACGATCGGGCCGAGCGGCAAAGTGCATCGAAGTTGCGATAAATTGCGTGAGACATAAATTAGCCTGTAAATGACAACTTCGGCTTCCAGAAACGTAAATTTTATGGCCACACTCCGCCGCACACCAAAGGCGACAAACAAGTGTGGCAGAGGTGAGCGCCTACATGTCTGTCTATCTATGCGGTACATGCCACTTTCCGTCCGTGGTGTGTCATGTCACGCTGCGACCGTGGCGATCACATTTTGCCGATCGGTCGGTCGGTGATCGGCAGTAAGCATATCTCTTCGAAGCATAAAATCGCACGTGAATGAGATGTGAAAATTAAGGGAAGCTGCACTCGTCAATGATTGTGGTTTTTGCTGTGCTCGCCGCGGCGATGGGCGATCGCTGGTCGATGGTGTTGAGTTATTGCCGTTGGTGGAAGGTGTTGATTTGATTACTTTTACGTAAGTGCTGACAGCTTGGCCAGTCCAGCTCGGGAGGGTAAGCAAATCGTGCAATATGCAATCGGGGATAATTTTGGTTATTCGATTTGCTTGGTTTCTGATTGCTATCCGCGCTACCTTTGAGGTGTTAAGCCTAGCGGTGGTTTCCGACAACTCAGCACCGTAATATATTCGTATGTATGTATATGAAAAATGATTTGACTTTAATGATCGCCACTGACTACAATCAAACAGCCGAACTAGCGCTAAGAGCTACAACAAAGCTACAAATAAGTAAGTATACGAGCAAGTACAACTACATACATACGTAAATATGTATGTACATAGGATGGAGGTGCCTTTCGAATTGAATTTCGTTTTTTGTTTTACCGCCCATAGTCCATTTTAGGATTGTTGGCATTTTGGCATCATTTTGCGGCATTGAAGGTGTTAAAATTGCCAATTACCAATTACCGATTGGCTTTTGGTATGTTCATACATACATACATACATACCTACATTGAGCGAAGTATTTGTGGAGCGGCTGGCAAAATCAGATTTTAAGCATTCATATTTTTGTATGTATGTATCTATGTTCAAACAGATATTTTCCATGGACACAATTTAACGCCAGAGGATTCGCTTCATATGCGAAAATGATTGCTTTGCTG